GAGATGATCCAAGTCCACCTCCAAGTTGAACACTTTGAGGTGGTAGTGACGTCGCAAGAGATCCCTGTACACGAAGACATTGTCCTGTCTGTACTGCAACAGGAACTCCAAGAACGCCTTCTTTGCAATCACGCGCTCGTTGTCGCCGCCCGTATCCCCGGTGATGGGGTCGGAGTAGAACAGCTGTCCTTCATCCCACCCAGACATGGTGCTGTGTTGTGTGTGTGACTACTGTGTGGTCGTCGCTGACTGATGAAGCTGTGTGACTGCTGGTTGTGGTTGGTGGAGTGTTGCCGCACTGTCTCCACTGACTGCTCGCTGTGTTTTGTTTGTGCGGAAAGTACGTGCGGAAAGTACGCACTCTGCTTGTTTGCTTTAAATTGTGTGGATATCGAGACTTACATTTCGCGCCGTATCCACCAATTTGGCGCCAAAACAGGTGCTCTGTGTGTGTGTGTGTGTGTGTGTGTGTGTGTGTGTGTGTGTGTGTGTGTGTGTGTGTGTTGTGTGTGTGTGTGTGTGTGCGTGTGTGTGTGCGTGTGTGTGTGCGTGTGTGTGTCTGTCATGCGTGTGTGTCTGCCTCTGACATCACTGCACCACATCACTGCACCACATCAATTTCACCATGTCGCATGACATTTGATGTACAATGGATGGAGAAACAATACAAGCTAGCAAGCACTGCCAGCAACAAATATGCAGGCAAGCGAGCAAGAGAAAGCAACAGTAACAAGCAACTGACACGAGAATGTCAGTTCTTCAGTTGAGCAGTTGGTGTGGACAAGGTTCACATAAGGTTGAACGGATCGCATAAACGCACAAGAAACAAACAAAAAAAGATGCAGCTATGGCACACAACAACACCAAACAACACAACGTAGCACAGCGACATGCTGCACACATCACCACTGCAGCGAACGCCTAAACATCTCTGGGAATCGCGCCCTTCCCCTACCACGCGCGCCCTTCCTAAGGCTTCACACACACACACTCACACTCACACACACACACATCAGCAGATTAGAAGATGGTGCGTTGGCCAAATTCTTCCCTTCGTTTGGAGGCGCTCGCCCTGACGGCGTTGTCGATGGCGTTCAGGATCTCCTCATCTGTCGCGCTGATCACGGGCATGCGCAGTGCCCGAATCACCTGAGCGAAAGAAACAATGCGTTGTGCGGTTGCAGATGTTGGCAGGCGTGAGCAACAGGCGGAGTCGACATCATGCACAATGACAGTGTTTGGCGGCGTTACGAGGCCTAACCGTCAGCACACACACGCACATACACGCACATGCACACACACACATACACACGCACACACATACACACACACATACACATACACACGCACGTGTGCACACACACGCACATACACAAAGCATGACAAGAACAAACCTTCGCGCGGAAGTCAATGTGTTTTTGCAAGCGCGCCTCAAGCTCCGAAATGGTGTTCTTGAAGGCGAGAATGTCGTTTGGCCCCAGCATGCCCGCGGACGGTGACAGGGACGATGTGCTCACGTGCGCAGTTGCCGGTCGACTCCTGTACACGCGTGCGTTGATTCATGGTTGAGTGTTGTGGTGCGGTGCAGTGGTGAGCAGCTGCTAATTCATAACAACCAACACGCAAAGGACTGCATGACACAGGCAAGCAAGCAAGCAGCAAGTAAATCCATTACACATACACACATAAACATATACACACACATGCACACACAAATGTACATATGTATATGTACATGCGCAGCAAAGCCATTTGCACTCACGTTATGGCCTGGTTCTTCCAGTGCGCGACCTCTGCCTGAAGGGAGCGAATCTCCTCATCTTGCAGTGAAGACGTGCTCCTGTTGCGGTGAGACGCATGTACACGGACGCATGTCTTGGGCGGTGAGCACAACGTTGACGGTGCATGGGAGTGGGAATGGCATCAGTCAGATATATTCGCACCACTGCTGACGTGACAAAACGGTGGCAAGGGGCGTGGCAATGACAACCCTTCAGGGTACAACCCACCCTTTGGCGTGCTTCAGCTTCTTCTCCATGGCGGTGATCCAAATCTCTTGCGACTCAATCGTCTACAACGTGTAAATGCGTACATGTGAGTACAAAGGTGCCATTCATGCTGTGTGTGTGTGCGTGCGTGCATGTATACATGTGTGTATATGTGTGTATGTGTGTGTGCGTGCGTGTATGTATGCATGTGTGTATGTGTGTGTGTGTGTGGCGCACGCGTGCTGACCTTGAGTGCAGCCGAGAGCTTGCGCTTGAGCTTCTTCATCTCGCGTTCGTGTGATTCGTTGTCTGAATCCGCGCGCTTCCGTCCGCCGCGCCGCCGCTCGCTCGGAGACGTCGCTGTGTTGTGTTAGAAGCAATGATGCATACGAGCGTGAATACGTTTTGTGTGTGAATGCGTGTGTGTGTGTGTGTGTGGGTGTGTGGATGCCATGAGCGACACCAGTGTAGTTGGCACACTACAGCAACAACCATCGCGTGCATCACACAGCGTGGTTATGAGCAATCTTCGCACGTTCACACGTTCACACGTTCATATTTACGTTTGTGCGTGCGCTCCTTGAGTGCTGCCCGCAGCGTGTCAAGGATGGCTTCGTCATCGTGTGCATGTTTACAGTGCACCATGCGTGCGACCTCCCGCTTGAAGCCCTCAAACTGTGAAGAAGTGTGCGTAATTCAGTGTGTGTGTGTGCGTGTGCGTGTGCGCGTGTGCGTGTGCGTGTATTTGGTTAGGTGTGAGCATGTGGAGGAGTACAAATGTGCTTGGGAAGCAGTTGCCGTACACAGTGCCACCATAACCACCTCTTGCCACACGATCCCAAACTCTCAACGCATGTGGGGCGCGCACCCGCACCACCCCCCACACACCTCGATTCGCGCGTTTGCGGCATCCTCCTCCAGCTCGTCCATGCGTATTCTCATGCTTCGCTCCCCGCGCATGCGCCCATAGTCAAGGTGGTCCGCAGACAGCGCCTGAATGTGGCCACACGTGTGTATGTATGGGTGCATGTGAGCGTGCACGTGTGTGTGTGTGTGTGGTCAGAGTGTGGTGTGATAACTCATAACGCCATCTGCCTCAAACATACGACCAGTGGAAGCAGGTGCATGCATGCTCCGCGCCATAACTTACGTGTGATGTTGCAGGGCGGCTGGCCGACCAGATGTTGACGGATTGTGAGTTGAGGGCATTGGCCGCATTCATCTCCGCCACATCGGCCTGGCGACACCAAGCAACGCATGCCGGGCATTGGTAAATGGACGGTTCACAAGGCAGAACGGCTCCAGCAAAACACACCACACAACAACAACACACCACACAACAACAACAACAACAACAACAACAACAACAACAACAACAACAACAACAACAACAACAACAACGACAACAACAACAACAACAACAACAACAACATTGAAATCACCAATGCGCTGTCTCACCCTGCGCTTGAGGGCCTCAATGGCCTGGTAGAGGTTCTCTGCATGTGCACTCGCGGTGACATCCGTGTCCAGACTGAGCGCAAGGCTGATGCGATGGCACACATCTGCATAGTAGCGGTCCGTGCGGTTCTGCAGTCGATAAGGTGGCGTAATGACACATGTTGGAGGTTGTAAAGGTGAGGGTCATGGCACTGAATGACAAGAGACTCACCAAACAGAACAAGTCACATGATGCACCACACACACACACACGCACACACACGCACACACACACACACACACACACACACACACACACACACACACACACACACACACACACACACACACACACACACACACACAAGCGATGCGATGAGCACCCAAACAAACGCACGGCAAGTGCCATCCACCAGCAAACACGCACCGTCTCCTTGAGGTTGGCAACCTCTGCCTTGAGTCGTGAAACCTCGCGCTGGTGCAATTCCTCGGCGCGGGAGATGGTGGCTCGCATGTCGTCTGCTTTGCTGTCGCCGTCAACGCGCACATCGTCCAGTCTTCGGTTCAGCGCCTGGCGCATTGATGAGCAATGATAGCACATGTGAGTCGTGGGGCTAGACGAAGCACCCACCCACATAGGGACAGTAGAGACACACAAGCACACAGAACACACACGCACACACAAAAAACACACGCACAACACACGCACAACACACACAACACAACACACGCACAACACAACACACACACAACACAACACACGCACAACACACACCCAACACACACGCACCACCCACACACCTCGATTTGTTTGTCCTTCTCAGCGATGATGTCATCGTATCTGCCGATGCGCTCCTCCTGCAGCCGTGCCTCGCGGGTGAGCGATTCTTGCGCAATGGTAGCATCCTTCAGCTCGCGCGTGCGTGCAAGCAACTCCTCCCGAAGCGACGTCGCCTCGCCGTCCATGCGCTCGCGCTCTGCGGCGTTTCGTTCCGCTGCCCGCTCCATCTGCGCAATGGTTGTGTCCTTGGCGTTGCTTTCCCGCTGCACAACTGCAAACTCCTTGCGCAGGGCCTGCAAGTCTGCCTCCAGGGCATCGCGCGCAGCAACAACCTCGCGCGCCTTGCTGCTCACCATCCCGCTCTGCCGCTGGCCCTCCGTGGCCTGCAGGATCTCCGCCAACTCATCGTACAGCTTGCGCTGTCGCTCCACACGCTCCTCCTCGGCCTGCCGCAGCTCATCCGCCGTCAGCACCTGCGTCTCCAACGACGACACCTGCCCCGTCAGCTTCTCAATCTCCTCGTCCTTCTCCGCCTGGGCAGCCGTGAGAGCCGTGATGTCGTCTCGCAGCGACGCAATTGTCGACCGCTGCTCGTCCATGTGCGCCTGCATGTCCGCTTTTTGCTCCTCCAGGGTGGAGATGAGGTCCTCCTTGCTGCCCAGCGTGGCGTCCTTGGCCTCGTTGTCCTGCACCGTCGACCGGAGCGTGCGTTCCAGCTCCTCGCGCGCCTGCCGCAGCTGCGCCACTGTCTTCTCGTACTCGCCCTGCGTCTCCCTGCTGCGCTCCACCTCCTTTTTCAGCTGGTTCTGCAGCGTCTCGATGGTGTGCTCGCGGGACTTGAGCTCGTGTTCGCGCGATGCCACGCGCTGCTGCAGCGAGGACACCTCCATCTGCAGTCCAGAGACCTCCCGGCTGTGCTGCAGGCCCGCTGCCTCCTTGTTGCGGTCGCTCTGGCGCTTCAGCTGCAGGTTCTCGTGCTGCAGCTCGGAGATGCGCTGGTCGCGGGCGTTGGCATCCTCCCGCACACGCTCCAGCTCACCCTTGAGCCGCTCCTCGCGCGATTCCGCGGCCGCTGCTGCGTCCTGCGCGTGCGAGAGATCGCGCTGCATGTGCGTGAGCTCGAGCTGTTGCTCGCGGTACTCCTGGCGCAGCTGATCGCACTCCTGCTGGAGGTGTGTGAGTTGGGCAGCCGTGGTCTCGCCAGCAGCCACCTGCCGCTCGAGATCCCCCACAATCTGCTTCTCGTGGCGCAGCGCCTCCTGTGCATCCCTGAGCTCGCGCAGCAGCTCTGGGTTCTCTGCCTTTTCCCGCGCAGCTCGCAGCTCTTCGCGCAGCGTCTCGATGTCGCGTTCCAGGAGCCGCGTGTATCGCTCCGAGGCCGAGTCTGAGCCCTGTCGCGTTGGCGGTGCGGGGCCCATGCCATCATCCATGTGGCCTGAGTACTGGCGGCCTCCCATGCCACCGCCCATGTAGCCGCCGCCAACGCCCATACCCATGCCCACGCCCGGCCCAGCCTGCTGTTGGTGTTGCCTGTTCCTGTACTCGAACGAGGACATCATCCTTGCCCGATCCAAGCTCTGGTACCCTCCAACACCGCCACCCGCGACACCGCCACGTGCCATCCGGGGATCCATGGCTGATGACCGCATTGGCCGCCCACGATAGTAATCGCCCATCTGTGCGGACGACGATTGTGTGCCTGTGCGTCTGTACCTGTGTGTGTGGTAGCCGTGTGTACGTAGGTGTGTGTACGTAGGCGTGTGTAACAACGTGTGTAACAACGTGTGTGCGTATGTGTGTGCGTGTGTGCGCGTGTGTCTGGACTGGTTGGTGTTGTTGGATGCGATGTGTTTGATGACAAGTGGTGAATCGCTGGGGAGTTGGCGAGCGAGCTGACTGTGAAAGCGTTTTTTTGTTTGCCGCGGCGCGTTGCCAACAACAAAAGGGTGCGTCTGCATTCCCGGTGGCCCACTCACCGCTCCTGAGATTGCTCCCCACCACACACCCAATATTCTCCCTTTTGAAAAACGTGTCTGACCCAAATAAACATTTTTGCAACGACCCCGTCCTCCCCACCACACTGCACAACCCCACTGCCCTCACCCACCAACCCCTCCCCACTCCAACGATGGCATCCATCCACACCACTCCCGATCAAATCTCTCCTGAAGACTTGGTCGATACCCTCGGTGCGCACTTGTCATCCCCACGTCTCTTGCCCACAACCAACAGCCTTCATGTGGTGTTCAAGTGTTCCCCTGCCTGGCTGTCCCTCACATGATCGCTTGACTTCACACAACAACCACCCTGACCTCCTCTTTCGTCTGTCCGCGACCGCATCACTGAAGAGTTACTGCCTCTGCTTGACGAATCCGCCAATGGCACACACGGTGCGCAATGGCCCCATCCTGCCTGTGTCCGTATGTGCATGAGTGTCTATGTGTGTATCTCTGAGTGATTATATGTGTGCGCCTGTACGTGCGTGTGCGTGTTTGTGTTTGCGCTCTTGCGTGCGTGTGCGTGTGTGTACGTGCGTGCATGTGTGTGTGTGTGCGTGCGTGCATGTGTGTGTGTGCGCTCTTGTGTGTGTGTGTGTGCGTGCGTGCGTGTGTGTGTGTGTGTGTGTGTGTGTGTGTGTGTGTGTTTGTGTGTGTGTGTGTGTTCATGGTTAGCTGCTTGTGCATGTGTGTATCCCAGGGACTGGGTCAGAAGTCACAGCCGCGACGACACAACAACACCAGGCACATGCCGTCACCCCGGGTACGAAACAACACTCCGTGCGTGTGTGTGCGTGCGTGTGCGCTTGTGCATGTGTTTGCGCTCTTGTGTATGTGTACGCGCGCGCTCTTGTGTGTGTGTGTGTCTGTTCATGGTTAGCTGCATGCGCATGTGTGTGTATCCCAGGGACTGAGTCACAAGTCACAGCTCTGACGCAACAACACCAGGCAACTGTCGCCACCCCGGGTACGAACCAACACTTCGTGCGTGTGTGTGTGCGTGCGTGTGTGCTTGTGCGCTCTTGTGTGCATGTCTGTTCATGGTTAGCTGCATGCGCATGTGTGTATCCCAGGGACTGGGTCAGAAGTCACAGCCGCGACGACACAACAGCACCAGGCAACTGTCGCCACCCCGGGTACGAAACAACACTCCGTGCGTGTGTGTGTGATTATGTGTGTGCGCCTGTGCGTGCGTGTGCGTGTGTTTGCGCTCTTGCGTGCGTGTGTGTGTGTTTGCGCTCTTGCGTGCGTGTGTCTGTGTGTGTGTATGTGTGCGCGCGCTCGTGTGCGTGTGTGTGTGTGTTCATGGTTAGCTGCATGTGCATGTGTGTATCCCAGGGACTGGGTCAGAAGTCACAGCCGCGACGACACAACAACACCAGGCACATGTCGTCACCCCGGGTACGAAACAACACTCCGTGTGTGCGCTCTTGTGTGTGTGCGTGCGTGCGTGTGTGTGTGTGTGTGTGTGTTCATGGTTAGCTGCATGTGCATGTGTGTATCCCAGGGACTGGGTCAGAAGTCACAGCCGCGACGACACAACAACACCAGGCACATGTCGTCACCCCGGGTACGAAACAACACTCCGTGTGTGCGCTCTTGTGTGTGTGCTGTGTGTGTGTGTGTGTGTGCGCGCGCGCTCTTGTGTGTGCGTGTGTGTGTGTGTGTGTGTATGTGTGTGTGTGTGTGTTTGCGCTCGTGTGTGTGTGTGTGTTTGCGCTTGTGTGTGCTCACGCCACTTGTCGGCGATTTCACTAGACACGAAACCTTTCGAGTGCCCAGCGTCTGGCTGTAGCGCCCGCTTCACTCGTTTCGACTCTGCCAAGCGTCACATCTGCACGTCGCACAAAGGTGCTGACGTTGCTGACCTTCTGCAAACGTTCAAGAATAACAGCAACGAGGTTGCCATTGTGTACCCATGCCCCGAGAACACATGTACACAGACCTTCAGCAGCAGACAGGCGCTCTCCAGGCACCAACTACGCGACCACGGAAAACAGAAGGTCAGAATCTGGTGGTGATTGTACACGCTTGCAGCGTGTGTGTGTGTGTGTTTATGCGTGCGTGTGTCTGCGCTCTTTTGTGTGTGTATGTGCGTGTGTTACTCACCAGCGGCGCTCTGCCCTATATGCCAGGCGCGTGGTCATTTTCAGTGCCGGAGCGGTTGCGCAGATGCTGCGTTTTGTACCGCGAAGGAACTCATGCAGCATGTTATTACGGATCACGACGCCTCATGTGAGTATTTGATTGTGGCCTGCCTGTTGTCTCCGATCCTGTGTTTCTCATCAGCAATGTCTCTCCTGCCCGACGTCGTTCGTTGCAGGTTGTGTCGTGCGTTACTACGCCTCGTGGAGCAGGTTCGAGTCGTGCATCGCCGCGGCAGAGTGTGACGACTTTGCCCTCGTCGATTACGTCAAGCGTGACCACACCTGCTGCTTCCCACCAAAAGCTGCCGCGTGGGGCCTCGAACATGTACAGGTGGAAGAAGAATTCGTCCGGACGTGCTCTCGGCATGGCAATGAGCGACCATATCAGGGCACAATCCGCGCTCACCGTGCAAAGGCGCCAAAACCTGTTGGGTGTTGTCCAGCAATGATGTGGGGGCAGGTCTGCAAAGGCGGGCGAGTGCGGGTGGTGATGTTCAACTACCACTCACATTCGAAGGACCTGCGTCACCTACAGCTGCCAGGCGTGTTTCGTGCAGAAGTGGCACGTCTCCTTCGTGTCTCGGCGTCTTACACGGCCATTTATCATCAGGTGAAGGCGACCTTTTCCTCGCATCCACGTATCAGGTTAGATCGATGCGGTGTCTGTGTGTGTGTGAGTGCGCGCGTGAGTGGGTGAGTGAGTGAACGAGTGTGCGTGTGTGTTTTTGTGTGTGTGTGTGTGTGTGTGTGTGTGTGTGTGTGTGTGTGTGTGTGTTCCCTGCCTTGCGTGTGCTTGTGTGTCAGTGCACGTTCTGACTGTCTTTGTCGTGCTTGCGTGACTAGCATTTTCAAGCAAGCGCATGTCTACAACGTTGCTCAGGAGTACGAGCCTGGGCGCTTTGATGCGGATGACGCCGCTTCTGTGTGGTACGCTGCACAAATCTACAACAAGGAGGCTGGCGAGCACACCCCGGTCATCACAGCCTTGAAGCTTCAAGGTCAGGAGGCGTTTGAGTTTGGCGGGCCCGAACAGCGCGCCTCAGGCGATTTCCCGCAAGAGTCACTATTCATCCTTGTGCAGACTGAGTGGCAGCGACGCGTGCTCAAGGTGTGTGGTGCTGAGTGCCGTGCTCGCGTCTTGAATCCTTGCATGCATGGTCAATGATGTGCACCGCCTTGCAACACATGGGGCACTCTGTTGACTCGTGTCGTGTTGGCGTGTCAATACTGCAGTGTGTCGCCAGCCTTGTGCACGTGGCTAATGGTAAGCGTCTCGTCATCACTTCCCATGCATGCTTGTTCTGTGTTTCCTTAGGAGTGTGGGCATCGTGGCATTTTTCTTGACTCAACACATGGCACAAACATGTACGACCACCCGTTGATTAGCGTGGTGGTCGAAAGCGTCTATGGATGGGGAATACCTGTGGCGCACGCCATTGTGAGTCACGAGACGATCGGCGTCGTCGCACACTTTCTACGGAAAGCGGTTGCAGACCACGGTATCACTCCATCGGCCGTGATCACGGATAAGACGTTTGCCGAAGGTCGCGCCGTGGATGAGGCACTTCCCAACTCTCGCTGGCTTCTTTGCCAGTTTCACGTGAAGCAAGCTTGGTGAGAGGTCGTGTACCGCTTGCGCGACGCCGTGTG